TGAACCTTTACTGACATCAGCCCTGGCTCTTGGAGCCTCCATGTCCTGCCATAAAAAGCAGATTTTACAGCAGTTTTCATACTCCCTTTTATCCTAATAAGGGAATAAAGTCCTTCTGGTAATCACACCAGTGGAGCCCCTGCATGGAAATGGATGGGTGTGTGCTACAGACCATGCCCTTCGTTCAGCAAATTATTCTGCGTCGCTTTTCTCTGTACAGCTTCAGCAGCATCAAAGGGAGAGCAGGTATAGATGCAGATACAGGCTGTCTGAAACCTTCAAATCTTCTTTTTATGGGGATGTAAGGCAACTTCATATATCATGCAGCTGGACCTTTTCCATATTAGTAACACAAGACACCCAGTACTTATACTGCTTAGGAAAACAGAAATAGGCCTAAATCCTAGATCCAGATGTGAATTTGGCAAATAGCCCCTTTACAATGGGACAACAAAATATCTCCGATCCAAACACTTCTACATTTCGGGAGGTTTGAAATCAACTTTGCACCCACAGCAATTCATTAATCATATCTTTTAAATGTTTAAACTTCAGCTAGAACATAAAATCAACATTTAAGGTTCTTGCTAATTTGTCTCAGAATTGGCATCATATAAGATTCCCTTCATGAAATGGATAGTCTCAAAGACATTTCCAAGAGTAATTGCTGCCCTTCTCTTTTTCTGCCCTCCCCTCTTTATTTTACTTTAAAAGAGATAAAGAAAGGTAGGGCAAAAAAGTGAATATTACTGACACAAATGAATTCTGCTGAATTTCATTTCCATTAGATTTCTACATAACTGGGAACTCTTTTGGCAGCCTCCCATAAAAGGCATAATAAATTGCTTTTGTACCAATAGAGGAATTCATTTTCTCGGTTTCATTTAGCAACAACATTGCTGTGAATTTCAGACAACAGTTTCTAAAACGTCATCCGATTTCTCTGCCTAATGTCAATTTGGCATTTTTCCCCTCTTCACAGAATAAGGGCTGGAGAAGTAAAAACAGAGCAAAACAAAAACAAGTTGCCATGCCGGTTGTGTAACGCGCGGGGAATGAGCCAGGTTCGCTCTTCCAGCAGGTGCCCTGCTTTCGGCAACGTCACCAGCGCCGCTGGCAGGAATCGGCACCGTTCTCATTAATGGGACCAAAGATTAGAGAGCCTGGATTCATCCAGCTGAGGGTTTTCTCCCTCCTGACACGGCCTGGAGAAGTTTATTCTCCTTGTGCAAAGCCGTTGCCTGTTCTAAGAATAAATACAAACCTTCAGGCTATTGATGGGTCAACTCAAATGAAAAAAAAAACATCAGGGAAAACAGAAGTCTAGTAAAAGTATCTTTGCTTCAGCATGTGATCAGATTGCAGGCTGCCTTGCTCTTAAATACTGACATCCCTTCACTCCCGACAACTTCAATGGCCCTTATGAGCGCTCAGCCCCTCCCGTGGGATTTAGGCCCATACGAAATTATTTCACTTCCTTCGCAGTTAGTGGTCATGTTCCCAAATGATATCTGGGGCAACGGGAGCCGGTCTTAACAGCCACCGCTTTCTGCTTTCAACCTCCAGTCTCCCCCATCCTCATCCCATTGAATTGCTGATGCTCAGGAAAAGCCAGGAGCCCAAGGGAAGGACGTGGCCATACCCACGATATGTGCTGACAACGGCTCCCCTGCAAGTCCTGTCCTCATTTACATACATTTGGGGCTGGGGTGCATGGGTAGGAGATCACTAGCGCCTCATGTAAGGTGGGGGAGAGGCAAGGGGATGCCCATATGTCTGGTCGCTGCTTCAGCGCATTTCACAGCCTCCCTCCATCGCTTCCTTTTATTGAAATTTTTCATGAGAAGTAATTTGCAAGTGCTTTGCATATGCAGTGCACATCTGATCGAATCACGGTGGGGAAAAGGCTGTGCAGATGTTACCATGCTGCCTGATGGATACAAGAGGATTGATTTCCCCGGTCCTCATGCACATATGCTCTCCCAGCCTGACCTACTACAGAAAAATCAGGGAGAACTGAAGTCCTGGCACTGGGGAAAGCCGTCGTGTAATTAAGAGCAGCCTCAGGGTCCCTGGGAGTTGCTCTTAGCTGCTAACAGCTCTCAACTAGCCTTTTGGCTTACAAATCATGCCCCCACCCTGCTCTCCTCTGGCACCCACACAACTCCACCTGGCAAAATTATATTACAAATGGTACTATTAAAATGATAACATAAAGATTATTAATAGCAGGTTTGATACACTCTCCTAGGGAGAAAGGCTACAGAAAGGAAGGCAGGCATTAGCCAGCCAGGAAAACAACAGCGTAGGGGAAACGGGATCTCATCCATATGGCCTCTCCTTCCCCGAGCAGCACGCGGCTGTGCTGCCCACAGCCTACACTGCTGCCTTGGCCTCAGCTGGGACTGTGCTTCGAATTCTGTCCGTTATATAAATCCCACAACATTCCTCAGATCGGGAGTCCTGCTTCAGGCAATTGAAGGAAAATTTAAGGAAAATTTGGCTGCATTTTTTTCCTTTGCAAATATTAGGGGAGAGCCTAAAACAGTGCCTAGTAGTTGACTGGGGGGAGCCTGAAATCCTGTAACAGTTCACTTTTTGGTTAGTGCTTCTCTCTTTTTGATGTGATCTGTTTATTTTATTGGACCGACAGGGTTTTCTCATGTCAAAGACAAGCCCTTTTAGTAATGTCCTTGTCTGGCAGCATCCGAACCCAAAACCCAATGCCTCTGAAACTGGGTGGCCCTGTCAGTCCACGAACAATCGCATTTGCTAAAAATGGGGTTTTTTCCTCCCCTTGTACAATGAAACTTTGTATGTCAGGAATTAAACTATTGAAAGGAATTCGGATGTGAGAACGCCGAGACATATTAAAAAATAGTTATTATAAGCAATATCTTCTTTTTATTAATAAAGAGGTAGAGAAAGCCACATTAGGAAAGCTTTTCAAAGAAACGATGTGGCAGATTAAAGGATACAGAAGGCTCAAGGAGTGAGTGCAGATACTAACACGTATAGCCAAGGGGTTAGAAATTAATCTACATTAAACTTCGCAACTGTAGCAGTAGCATTTGGTATCACACATGCTGAGTGAAAAAAGGAAGTTTGAGATGGTTTGAGTACATGATGTAAAATAAGGATCAAAACTAAAGCAGGGGATGATCAGCGCTTCTCTGGTGCTCCTCTGGAGCTCGGTGCTGCCAGACGCTGAGCATCTGGCCCTTGAAGAGCCCTGTGCGAGGAGAGGGCTGATCCCCTATGCACTGCAATCAGCGGGGCTCTCCAGCCTGGTTTCAGCTGCGTCTGGATCGGGGTTTAAGTGCACATCTTCGTTTAAAACAAAAGCCTTTATGTTTCCCTCCATACAGCAGGATAATGTTTTGCTGGGGTTTACCACTCAGTTGGGATAATGCATACAAATGCATAGATACATTAAACAGCTTTTGGAAAATGTGAGAGCATCAGTGCCTTGAATTATAAATTCAGATCATTTCAGAAAAAAAAGGGGTACATGCACAATTGTTTCTTGAAAGGATCAATTGGGCATGATTATTGTCTTTGCTCCGAAAGAAAGCCTTTGAAATGGAAGAATCTCAGCGTTTCAAAACAAAATGTCTGGGGTTAAGTCATGGTTAACTTAATCATAAAAATTATATAGATCTTAATTAAGAGGTTTGTAAAGTGCTTCAGCTTGCTGTTGTGTTTACAGCTACATGTAATATCCTTCGAAAATCTTGTTCCAGTATCAGCTAACAAAACTGGAAAGTTTGTTTAGATTATTGTTCTGCTAGATAAGATAAAAGCTGCGATAACACTGCGCAGTGACCAGCCTGCTTACAGACACGGACACCGGCTTATGGCTTACCCCGGAGGCTGCAGTCTGTGTGCTGGGAGAAGCGGTTTTGCTACAGTCATCTGAGTTAGTAGAAGACGTGGATGTTGGAGTCATAGGAACCGCAGTAGTACTGTTACCTGAAAGATCGGGAACTGGTATTAAAAACAAATATTTTCCAGCCGGGGAAGAAAAAACCTCTTGCAGCTCAACTGTCTTATCTTTTTATATTTACCAGAGCATGCCTTTGACTTATTTATGTTCTTAGGTTTTCGCTTCCTGGTCTGAATTCCTTCTTTTTTCATAGCAAGAGGTCGGGGAACCTGAAAAAATTAAATTTCCACACCAATCGTAGAGATGCATATATACTCTAATACCAAAAATCAAAATACACTACAAGATCAAGCGGTGATGTTGAAAACACCTGTTGAAGATATGTATAGCATGGCAATTTTTCCTGTGTCACGACAGTGATTCCAAAAAACCTTTGCATTTTATTTGGGCAAAGCAATGAATTATTTCAAGGGGAGTTTTATCCAAATAAAAAAAGCAGGGAAACTTTTTTCTTGATGTGGCCTAAACAGTTTTACCGACACTTCGGTCAGTCCATAGACAGCACGATTTTAGGGAAAAACAGCATCATTTGGCCATAGGTTGTATGAAATTAAATTGGACGGGGTGTATCCAATCCCTGACTCCTTATTCCAGTCGGTCAGTTAGGAATTATCTCCAGTGGCTGATTCTGGAAAGCAAGAATGCGTACAAGGGGAAAAAAATACTCCTCTTCCTGTGGACCAGCTACACAAACCAGATCGTTGTCGGTAAGTGTCTTAGGGCAGAAGCTTTAGGCCATAATCAGTTCAGCATTTGTTCTTATAAGCAGTTCTGCTCATGACACAGCTTTATAGTATCCAAATTTATATTTATAGGGAAAATGTGCTCAAAAATCAGCTTTATGTTCTGTGTCATCACAATGTAATCATTATACAGAAAACATTGGTTTAAAATACATTTTAACGTAATGAAAACACAAGCTTGGGGAAAGACAATTCAGGCATATGCTTATTATCATTATAATGTTTAAACCTGTGGTATAATGTACTTTTTCCTTGAGGACTAGACCAAGTCCCAGTCACTCCTAATGCCCTCGCTCTTCAAACACTTGTGCCTGACTGTAACTTAATCCACAGGCTCCAAGTCTCGCCCAAAACGTACTCCAGCACATTCAGGGTAGAGCTGTTTTCTTCCTCGATTATTGCCTGGCAAAGGCTGCAATGACATGTAAAGTTTTGCTGGCGTAGCTATGGCTTGAATTACATTTAAATTTTTGCTGCCATAGCTATGTCTGTCCATGAAAAACCGTCTTATTAAAGGTCTACTTTTTTTTTTTTCCCTACTGAAGAGCTGGTTTAAATCCCAGTGGCAAAAAGACCTCTGCCACTCAGCCAGAGATGGTTTCTTTGTACAAATCTGTCGGGAGAGCTACAAGGGCAAAAACGTAACTTGTCAAAAGCATAACTTGCTAAAGCGGTATAATCATTTTTTAATGCTGGGCATTTTTCAGTCACTTTATCCATTTTTTTTTAACTCCACGGTCCAAACCATGAGCTGAGACCATTAGCATCAACAGAAACCCGACTTGAGGTTACCCCCCAAAGCTGCCGGTCTCCCACCAGCAGGAGGACCGGCCCTTTCCCACCGGAGCATCGGAGCTGGCGGGGCATCTCCCCTGGCGAAGTGGCCGCTTACCCCGTGGAGCTTCATGTAGAGGCCGCAGGCGTTGCAGACGGGCTCGCCCTCCGCGTTCCTGCGCCACAGGGTGGTGGTCGTGGTGTGGCAGTTGGCACAGGACAAGCCCAGCCGCCGGGACGAGGGCTAGAGGCAAGCGGAGGCAAACACAGGCATAAACAGGCAGGCAGGAGCAAATAATTTATGTCTTCACAATTTATAAAAAGTGCTTTGACACACAGTGAGGACGGTAGGGATTTTTTATAGCATCTATCAGCGACATCCCAGAATTAAAACAAGATTATCCTCAGTTCAGAGCCTGGAAAGCTCACGTGAAGAGGTACTGCAACTCTGCAACTCTGGGCAGTTGCGGGAGAGGCAAAATTCACGTTTCGGGAGCTACTGACCCAGGGACGTCTGTTCAGACCACCGGGCACTGGCTTTTCCTCCAGCAGCACAGCTAGGAAACATCTCCACTCCAGCTCCATCCAGCTGAGGAGAAGGCACACCACTCCTGTGCCACCTCTCCAGCCGGTTCAACGCCCTCTCCCCTCTGCGGTGGTCAAAGAGGCAGCTCTGAACCTGCCACCGATACTCCCGACTCGTCGGAAAAATCAGCCGCTTTAATCACCTTCCCTCGGTGGCACCATGGCTGGGGAAAACAAACTTTACCGGGTGCGGAGAGGTAACACGTACAACAGCGGCATCTTTATAAAAAGATCTTTTTGTCATCGCCCATTTTATCCTTGCGTGAAAGGCAATGTGCCTGGGGAGCGTGTTTTACAGAACAGAGCTTCCTCTCGGCCAGCAGAAAAGCTGGTGGGTGACAACAAGGTCCCCACTGCAAACAAGCCATTTATGACACTCTTCCGTGGAGTTTGGAGCCAAGGTGAAGCAACCTTGTATCAGAAATAACCGTATAACCCGGAGCTTTATGGCTGCAGGCTGTATATCATAAGTGAAGGCAGTCCTCATAAACATGTGAAATGAAGGTGAATGGGTTATAAAAGTCCCTGTAACAAGTGATCTCTTTTACGTTCATCACAAGCAAAGAATTCCAGCTACATCATAAATCTAGTCTTTTTCAAAGTATCGCATTGTCAAAAAAAACAGAAAAAAATCTGTGCCTAGCTCTGTGTCTGGCAGCTGAACAAGTTTACACGGAGAAGTCAGTTTTAGAGGATTGCATTAATCTTATTCTGACTATAAAGCGCCCATAACCGAAATTACTAACTTAAGGGTACAATGCCCTTCCTCTTGAATCATTTACTGCTGGGTTGTTAGACGTAACTCGGTCACCTTTGATACCGCAGAGCTGCCTGCCACTTGGGAAACCAATAAAAATGTTTTGAGAATGAAGAATATTCCAGAGTAATAACCCAGTTTCTTGAATTTGATCCGTTTGAGTTTCTTTAGCAGTCGTCTTACACTGCAGCTCAGAAAGAACTCCAGACTAAATATGAATTTTCTAACTTTGAATCAGGACAGCAAAGAAAAAAAAACAGCCAAGTGTAATATAGGCTGAAGTACACGCATATACTTTTTAATCTTAAAAATCCAGGTCTCATGAAAGCAGAATTTTTGACCTTGTTATTAAATACATATGCACACAGCGTCCAAATTGTGTTCCTTGATTCAATACGAGTTTTACCTGGATCGGGTAAAAAAAAGCCGGTCTTAACACATATGCTTCGTTTTCTTTCTTTGCAAGTGAAATGCTGTCAGACGTTTCAGTCTGTTAAATCTTTCTTTCTTTTGTGTGCAGTCTGGTATAAATCTTCATATATTTTATTTCAATAGCTTTTGCTCATTCCCGTATCTAAACAAACGGGGTTTTTTTGGCATGTTTTGAAGGTAAAATGACTTTTCTGCTGCAGGAATTTTATCAGAAACTTCAGGGCAATCTAAACATGTTTAGAATTTTCAAAACATTTTCCCTCCTCACCTACATATTTCCAACTGTATGAACACACAGTCATGGTTGATTTATAGTTATGGCCAGGGTACTCGGTAGGGATTGTTACGCAGGGCTATTTCAGAGTTATTTTGCCGAGGTGTCAGGCTGAAATCGGGCTGCAGATTGACTCTGGTTTAGTCTCCTCACCCCCACCCCTCCTTCAAAAAAAAAAAAACACAAAAAAAAAGAAAAGAAACACAGAAATGCCAGAGCCGGGTATCAGCTACTTGCAATCTGCATTGGACCAGGGTGCCACGGCCAGCCGAACTCCGACACTTCAGACAAGCAGCAGATCTTGCCCGGCTGCTGCGTTTGTCCCCGGTAATGAGGTAACACCTTGTGTCGTGAAATTTAGTGGACGACCAGCTAGAAGAAACGGGCACCCAGCAGTAATTAACCGCTGGCTTAAAGTTAAATTAACTGTTCGGCTTAAAGAAAGGTCTTTAAGCGGAGGTGGGCTTGGTTCATGAGCGCTTACTGTCTGCTCCGATCATCACGCATTTGGTTTTTGGTTCCCCCCCTCCCCATTAAGGGCATTAAATTCAAACGGTTGTGAAATAAAGAACGGGACGTGTTTTAACGCTAGGAAAACAGGCACGGAGCGAAGCAGCTGGCGTGATTGAAAGGGGCTTGAAAGGCTGATGGGTTTGATACACTGTCTCCGTACACAAGGGTCCAAACATCAGCTTGGATTATACCGGCGTGATTTATTGTGGCTCGCTCGAAACCAGCCATTACTGAAGAGCGTATTCTTTCTCTCTGCTGACCTCCACCCAGATTTGCTAAACATAATGTGCAGTTCCCGCTTGTTAAAATTTCGCCTTGCCTATTCAGCGCCAGCCTGAGTTATAAACAGGGGTTCTGGGTTGTACTATTTATTTCCCCCCCTAGTTTTAGGAGTATATTTTTAGAAAAATTGCCGCTCATTTCTTAGGAGTAAAACAAAACAAAGGCTATTATCATTGTTTAAACAATTGGTTTTCTTTGAATTATATACAAAACTTGCTTACATTCCCAAGGATCGAGCTCTCAGCAAACAAAGCAGGTCTGGAGAAATTCCTAGCCCTCTGAACAAACACTTTCCAACCTTGATTTTTTTTTTTTCTGTTGGAAACATCCAACATCAGCAGCAGCACAAATTTCTTCCAAGCCACCGATGCCCCCTCACCGAGGGTCCATCAACTCAAAAAGTCAAGCCAGCCCGTGCCCGGCGTGCGGCTCGCTGGGGGCAGAGGGCGATTTCGCCAGCATGGGGCCCACCTTTTTTTGGGCCCCATGCCGGGACCGCTTTGGCCTGCCAACCTGGTCGGGAACCCCGCTTCGGTTCCACAGCCGGTGGGATCACCGGGCTAACACGCTCCGACTGCACTCCCCCATCCTTGCCCCCGCTTTCCCCCCGGCTAGCGCCGACTGGGGGTCCCTCGGGGCGCAGCTCCTCTCGGCCCCCTCCTCCCCTCCGTCCCCACTCACCACTCGCTTCTGGGGCTTGATGAGGGGCCGGCTGAGGCCGTTCATTTTGGTGTAGAGCCCGCAGGCGTTGCACAGGTAGTTGCCGGTGCCGTCCCTCCTCCACAGCGGGGTCTGGATGGAGCCGCAATTGACACACTCCCGGCTCTCGGACAGGTCCTCCAGCAGCTCTGGGGGGGCAGGAGCAGAGGGGAGAGGCGGTGGGGCACGGCCGCCGGCGGG